AATCTGGATTCCGTCGCGGCCGAAGCACAGCTGAACCACTTGTTGAAAGACAAATCACCTTAGCATTAGTCTTTCTCGATATCAAAAAGACATGTGATACCAAAAAGCGGCACCATACCCTACAACAGCTATCTTCCCACGGCATACGTGGAAACATGAGTGTTTTCATAAAAAAAATCCTCTCTGATCGTAGCTTTTGTGTCAAATGTACCTCTTCTACTTCCTGCTTTTCTTCAATTCGATGGTGTTCCACAAGGTAGTGTACTAAGCACCACAATGTTTCTCATAGCTGTAAATGGATTAGTTCTACCACCTAGAATCCGATCCTCACTACATGTCGATGATTGAGCCATCTTTGCCTCTGGCCCTTTCATACAAGTTCTCCATCAACTTATCCAGTCGTCGATAACATCAGTCTCTTCTTGGGCTACCAATCACGGCTTTCGATTCTCTAAAACCTTTTCTATCCAAATTTCTCGTTCAGGTATAGGCTCCCAACCTCCACTCCTCCTTTATGATACCCCTATCCAATTCCGATCTTCCGGCAAGTGGGTGTTATTTTTTACTACAGGCTATCCTGGGGTTCAGACCGCAAAACACTCCTCCATCTCCATAATACCCTAATCCTTTCCACCCTTGATTATGGCTGTCATATATATTATTCTGCCTCTACCACTCTTCTCTATCAGCTTGACCCAATAGACCATTGCGATCCTTTCCCGTTGAGAGCCTATACACTGAATCAGGGGCCGGATTTACTAAACTCTCACGTAAACGCTGTCTCTCGTAACAGTTACGAGAACTATCAACGATTTCTCAACTAGCGACTTTACGACCTATTTTCAAACGCCAAACAACGAGAGCGCAGGGGTCTCGTAACCGTAACGACCGAATTTTCTATCGCTAGGTTTCGTAGGGCTTTATTTCCTAAAAGAACGGCTCGATCGACCAATCAGCGTAAGCTCGGAAAAAATCGACCAATCACAGAACGTTATCCGCTGAACTGAAGCAACACTAATGAGTCTTACTTAAAACAGTTTCTATATCACCACCTGGTGAATCATTACCTTTTATTGATCATTACCACCTTTATAAATAGTCTTATAAATTCTGATACCTATATATATATAGCTAAGGCTATACCCATCTCTCTCTCTCTCTCTCTCTCTCTCTCTCTCTATATATATATATATATATATATATATGTATATATATATATATTATATATATATATATATATATATATATATATATATATTATATATTATATATTATAAACATACATTTGTATGTTTGTATATATATATTATATAATGTGTGTGTGTGTGTGTGTAGCCTATATATATATACACAAGCTAAAAGATATGCAGTACATGCAGTACATAAACATATACATGTATATATTTTTGTATATACAGAATTGTATGTATATATGCATATATGTACATAGTATATATATATATATATATATATATATAATATATATATATATATAGACATATGTAGAGGGGAAAGAGATCACACACATAATATATATATATATATTCATATCTGTCTCTCAAAAAAATCAAGCATTTTGTTATATTTTCATAAGATATGATAAAAAATTTGTTACAATCCAGTAAAACATTCATCTTAATTAAGAAATGGATCCAATGCTAAATGTAATTTTACATTAGGCTATCAAAAGGTGTGTTTGTATATTGGTAACATTTGTTATCAAATATTTATTATGTTTTGTTGCTATAGAGGAAAATAGTCAAAGATGGAATTATGTATTTGCATTCAGATTTCGTACTTGAAGATGTGTTAGAGATCCTTTAATTCATGATAAATCAAACTTGCTGAGTGATTTACATCAAGTGTTTCCGCAAAGTGACATTTACACACTCCTGAAGTTATTTATGAAGCTGATATGAGCTGAGGAGGTCGCTACGATAAGCGTCACGAGAGGTTTCGGGCTCCCGTAAATGTCTCTCGTACGGAGATGTGTTTACGACCTCGGGAGTGTTTTGAAAATACGCTCGTTGCGAGAAATTAGAGAGTAATTTGTTTTACGATATAAACAGACCATTTACGATATCGTAAGACGTTAGTAAATCCGGCCCCAGACCTACCATCCCTCTCTCTAAGAAGCTGTGTTCGTTTCCACCAACTTTCTCTCTCCAAGCTTGTAGTGTGGTAAAGTGTGGGGGCACCGACACTCACCCTACTACAGGAGCTGACGAGTGATCCTCGAACCGTGAATAAGATGTGGGCATGGGCATGGGGAAAAGCCGGCCTGACTACCACCTACGGGAGTGGGTAATCACAGCTGTTCATACAAACGGCTTTATTTACTAAAAGCTATGCTACTACAGCCTCGACGATCACAGGAAACACGAGAAATCACTGGCAACAGGGTATCGTCGCCGTACATCATAAAATATCAGTGAGGCACAACACGAAAATATCACAGTTAAAAGTCCTCCCCAGCCCACACTCACACCTCTTCACAGTCAAGGTCACCCGCCAACTGCTCTCTGTGGCGACTCCATGGCGCGTCACGGCAGGGGTAGCCAAGTATCCAAATTGTAAGAGGTTTGAGTGTGGGTTAAACGAGCTCCTATCGGACCCAAAACTTACAATGTATACTTCTGGAGGTGGGGCGTTTAGAAAAAGGGCAAGGGCTTGCCAAAAGGGCATCAGAAAAGGCATTAAAAAGTGAACACCCCAAGTGGGCAACACGACCACCCGTTCGCATAAGCGAATCCATGAATCCGGGCGCGTTCGTGTAACAAAAATACGTAACTCTACAAGCTAACTGTCTCTCAGCCCCTTCTTCATACCTTCTCTTCCTCTCCTCGTTTCCCTGTTCGTATGGACGCTCTACTTCTCTATTCATCCACTCCTAATCTCTGAACCCTATCTCTTTCTGCCCAAACTTTCCCTCCCTGGTTGATACCTACCTCTTGTAATTGAACTTTTATTTTCCATGATGTACCCAAGTCAAACATTACACCTATTCTCTTCACACATTTTCTTGCACATATTACTAGTCACTTTTCCAGTACTTATGTCTGTACTGACGGCTCCAAACCCACCTGAGGTTCTGGTTTTACCGTTGTCTTTCCCTCTCACATATACAGCTTTCATCTTCCACCTGAAGCGAGCATCCTTACAACAGAGCTATGCGATAATTTTTGCTCTACAATGCATGTCTTTCATCTCTTCCTCATCCTTCACCATCTTCACTGACTCGTGCAGCTCAATACCACTCATAAAATCCATACACCCTATCAACCCTATAGTCCGTAAGATACATGACCAGCTGTTCTATGTCTACACGACAGAAATGTGAGGTGGGTGTGCCCTATTTGTAACCGGGCAAGGGCAGTTTCCCAGTGTGTTTTAGTGGTATGGGGCCGACTAAGAAGACATGGAAGATTGACGGTCCACTGTTTATTGGAGACCTGAAAGATTGCCAATGGTTATAGATCTTCAGTGGGGTCGGTGGCTCTCGTATTGGAAAACCGTCGCTAATGTTGGAGGAAAGTCTTCAGGGTGCTCTTCGCCCTTTCCATGACATGGAGACGTTGGGAGAGCTTCGTGGATTCACTCACCAATGCAGCGGAAGTTCTTCCCTTAGGGTGCCTCGACCTTCGACGTCTCATATTGAAAGGTCGCAAAGACGTGACACGCTCACACAGTTCCCTCGTCAACTTTGAATACTATGCCGATGGGGGCTAAGTCCACATCCAAGTTCCACCTCTGCACTCCTCATTCCTTCACCCTTATCACAGACGCTTCATACGCAGGTTGGGATTATCAATCCTCCTTAGGCTATCAAGGTTCCGGTCGTTAGGGTCTGATGGCACGTCAATGTAAAGAATTACAAGCAGTCTTCATCGCCTTTCGTCAGAAGTCCATTCATTCCCTGTCATCAGTTCGAGTATTGTCTGGCAACACTCCAGTAGTTAACGGCTTAAACCATCAGGGTACTTCCCGCTCCTCTACTTTCTTCAAAGTGTCAAAGAATCTTCTTGTCCATCGACGCTCGATTTACCTGAAAGCAGCACACCTGGTAGGCACCTTGAGCAAATGGACAGGCGCCTTGTCTCGTCAAGTGTCCTCGACGGTGGAATGGCATCTTAAGCAGTCGCTATTTGCTTACATCACGTATCGCTTTCTAGTACCCCATATCAACCTTTTTGTGACGAGAGAGAATGGTCTGCCTTGTGTTCCATCAGAAAATACATAATACTTTTGTGCGCTACAAAGAATACGTTTGGAACGTTACGGCTTCAATGTAAACACTAACCCAAACTAGCTTTTTGTCCCAAATTTTGTATTAATACATTTATCATGATTTTTATTTAGGCTAGTGCTTTTAAGACTTCTTTTCACCTTAACATAGCATGCTTTCCAGCAGCTATGGGGTAAGAATCATACTTTCATGTTTCTTCACATTCAATATCTTTTGCTTAGCTGAATATGTAATGGCAGTGAAAAGAATAAGAGGGAATAGCAAACGGAGTAAGAAAACCGTTCAGGATTAACAAAGCCAGCCTTTCATCCTTTCAGCATGGCTCCCACACTTTAGAACATGAAGTTGAAGAGAAGGAAAAAGAAAGGTGAAGAAAAATACCATGGAAAATTAGTTGAGGCGAGGGCTGAGGTAGGGGTGATCCCCCACATTGGGGCCCAGTCTCTATTTCCTGCCCACACACGTCGACAAAGGACATGGGATTAGGTGGGGCGCTTAAAAATGATAATTCTGCTCCCACTTATCTACATTTACCAGTAAATCTACGGCTTTGAAAAGTACAGTCACATAATGCTAAAAATCAGAATTTTACCCCTTTTTCTTTCATTTCTTACTATGCTAGAATTCAATATTCCTTTTCCACACTATAGTCACATAATGCTAAAAATCAGAATTTTACCCCTTTTTCTGGCATTTCGTTTTCCACATCCCTTACTAGGTATCATATCTTGTATATATAGGGTAAATACAATAA